ATATCAGGCAGGGAGGCAATGGAATCGAATAGGAAACTGATTTTGCGGTAAATCACCACATTATCATCCATAAAAAAAAACCTGTTGACGACGACGGTGGCTGTTGCAGAGATCGGAGAGGGGTTGCCCTGCGACGCAGACGGCGCATGCGCGGAGCATGCCGAGTGCCGCGAAGGAGGCATCTGCACCTGCCTCGATGGATACCACCCGCTCCAATTCCAATGCAGTAATGCCAACCTTTTCCATTTTCTCGTTCCCCTTTCCAGGTAATTTAAAGTAAAATCGGGATGACCATTTCTTTCTCGCGATTCTATCAGTCCTTCGTCCATTTTTTGTATTGGGAAAGCGGGACAGTACCCGCACTGCATTGCAAGAGCGCCTCAAGTTGCTTTTCTGCTCAATGAAAGTTGCCAGTAATCTCCTTTTCAGTTAAAGTAATTCTCGCCACACACATTTCACGGCAGGAAATAATATTTTATGAAGTGACATTCCCACTGCGGAACGAACTTCGTACTCGTAGTTTCGTGAATGCATTGAATTCCTAAAGGGATTGCGTTGTCTCTGCCTAGCCTGGTTTGTACGGAACGACCTAAATGCCGATGGAGTAATATGGTAATAGTAATCTGGCTAAGTATCTCTGAGGAACATGAAAATAAAGTACGTATGCGTGGGGTAGCGTGTCTCCTCAGCACCCTAGACCAAGAAAGAAAATGTAAAAAGGTGTGCAGGTGCTTCTTGAATCCCAGCGAATTCCGGGGACCTAAAAAATGAAATTGAAGGGAAGTCACAGGGAAGTCATTGCATAGAAAGAGACTGATATGAAATTTGTATGGGAAATCGAACTGATCATCACGGAACGGATACTTCAGATGTCTCTAAAGAAATCCAGTATGAGAAAAAACGTGCCTACCTGAAATAATGGGATGTTCTCGGCGGGCTCATCGCGTTGACTGGGGAACGAGTGGAAATTGTTGACTATTGCAGAGGCGGGGGCGGGATTGCCATGCAAGGAGGATGGAGAATGCGTGGAGCACGCCGATTGCCGGGAAGGAGGCATCTGCGCTTGCATTCTCGGATACCACCCCGTTCACTTCCAATGCAGTAATGACATCTGTTCAATACTTTCCTCATTTTTGTTCTTCAGGAGGAAGGGAGAGGAGCTGAAAGGTATTCGTGAAGGAAGTCGTGAACCTCATCCGCAGTTGGGAATTCCCCTGCTTACAAAGGCTAATTTTGAACATGCTCTCTCAACAAAAGTCGAAGTACTGGTTATTAGTGTCCGTGCCTCTCGGGTTCCCTTATTCTCGAAAAAAATTGTGAAAATATTAAAAGTAGTTATTGGGCTCGTAAATGTAGAAAATGTCCAGATTGTGTCAAACTAACTGCTAGGGGTAAGAAATTGGGGCAAATCCAAAAAGCCTATTTTATAATAGACCGAAGTGTGTCGAGAAAACTGAAATGATTGATTTTTTCGTTCGAGATCATGAAAAGGGTAGCTGCTCGTGGCCCGTAGTCACTCTTGGTTTAACGTAGCCTGCGCATATTACTACCGCCGCTTTACGGACGACGTCTCCGGCCTCGCCCTGACGGCACGTGGCCTCTCCCGCTTACGCGACTCGACGCCGAGTGCAACGTAGGAGGAGGGAACTGCACTTGCGTCGACGGATACCGCCCCGTTGAATCCCTGTGCAGTAAGGGCTTCTAGTCCACTTTTTCTCTCTTTTTTTTCTCTCATCGTCGCATTTCAGGCGAAGAAGTTGACTGATCCATCAGAATCCTAATATATCGGTTTCCTGTGTCTCTGTCATTTGCATAATTTCCAAGAAAGGTATTGGAATGCCGTGCTGCAACCTATGAAGGCGCACGAGCTGAAAGCCAATACTTCAGATTTTCAGGATTTCCGCTTTGAAGAAAGAAATATGAAAGTCATAATGCATTTTAAAAAAAAAACCTTTAAAATACACAGACCGCAATTGAAATTGCTTCGCCCCGACGATTTTGAGCCTGATCAGTGTTAAGCGAATTATTAAGCCGAGCGTCATAAATGTGATGTCTCCAAAGAGCGAACTCGCAAAAGGCGAGCATGTAACTTCGAATGTTACAATTCCACAGGAAAACTTTAAGTTGGATTTTATCATTTCCAAAGCTGATGTTCACATCTGGTGAGATGAATTTACAGGTCGTACGCCTAGAGGCGGTTCACCAGAGTAGGTTGGATCAGGATTATAAATGGGACCACCTAAATAACATTAACTTATGGTTTCTTTTGTTCACCTTATTATCATAGTCCTACTAGAATTCATTGTGCGCGTTGAGTAACATGGAGAGCTTTGGTGTACGACGATCGCGATTGATTCCAGAGGCGGGTGCGGGACTGCCATGCAACAAAGAGGGCGAGTGCGCGGACCATGCCGAGTGCAACGAAGAAGGAACATGCGCCTGCATCAACGGATACAACCCTGTCCAATTCGATTGCAGTAAGGCCATCCAGCACTGCTGTCCTCATTCTTCCTTCGCCGTGTCCCCTGCGAAGAAATGAGTGCTCTATACTATTATGGAGTCTGTCAACATTTTCCTGCCTTTTGATTCGATATTGCAGAGGCGGGATCGGGATTGCCATGCAAGGAGGATGGAGAATGCGTGGAGCACGCCGCTTGCCGGGAAGGAGGCATCTGCGCCTGCATCGACGGATACCATCCTGACCGATTCGAATGCAGTAATGTCATCCAATCCTCATTTTCTTGCTGGTTCTTTTCCTTCGGCGGTTCGCATATTGTTGTGATGGTAATTTGATTATTAAGGCAGAAAAATGTATCCATATTTTTTTCCCTTCATTTGTTTGTCGTGTGTTCGTGGTGCAATGGTAGGTGCAACGAAACATTAGGAACTATGGAGAGGAAAATAAATGTAGAACAAGATCATGAGCAAAGTCAGGAAGTCATTGCGAGGGAAATGTCAACATTCAGCATTGATATGTGGCAAAAGTTACTTTCCCCGTTAAAGGAAGTGGATGAGTGGAACACGTCCAGTCGAGAAGCAGTGTTTGTTTCTTTCTCGCTCATTCTTAGAGAGATCAGATGCCCTCATGGACGAATAAAAGGAGACATTACGCTTGGCCACAAGGAGGATTTACATTTTCCCGTGGAATCAATATTTTTACGAGAAGGGGTAATGCAAAAATAATACAAACTTCAACTTAAGTACTTGGTACCTACCCAGGAAAAATGTTTTTGATATTTGTAGACCTTCAGCCGTGCACAAAAGTTAAATTCCAACTGAAAGGAGGCGATAAGGAGGAAAAACGACCAGGAAATTTCCTTGAACAGACGAGCAGATTGTCGGAGGGTATCAATAAGATTTCCGTGAAAATGGCTACTATTTTTCATAATGTTGGTTGCTGCAGAGACGGGAGTGGGGTTGCCGTGCAACAAAGAAGGAGAATGCGTGGAACATGCCGTGTGCAACGAAGAGGGAGGAGGGATCTGCACTTGCACCGATGGATACCTCCCCGCTCAATTCCAATGCCGTAATGCCATCCAAGTTTTCCCCCTCGTTTTTTGCTTCTCTCTCCCTCGCGGCTCAGGAAGAGAATGTCATCCAACTGGAAGGAGAAGTCAGTATAGATTTACTCTCACCTTGATGGTTTTTAATTTTCTTCGTTACATGTTTTGATGGACACATGGCAGTAGATGTAACACGTTTCATACACTCGCAGAGAAGAAGAAATGCAAAAACCTGTGATCAAAAGTACAAGAAAATGAGGTTTTTTGAAAACTTTTCCATTGTAAGCGACGTAAGGTCAGCCATCAGCCGACCAAACGCTCTCTTTTTGGGGTCTCATGAATGGAAAGAAAAAAACCTTATGCGTCTCGTACTTGTACGGTACGTACATTAGGAACAAAACTGCGGGAAAAAAACTGGTCAGAACTTGTTCAGAACTAACTTCAAAGACGTGTTTCTAGATATTTAATTTTCCAAATGCGAAGAGTTGAAATGCAGATTCACATGTAAGCCAAGTACGACTAGCCCCTCCCTTTAGACGATTGAATGAGAGCCAATCTGCCCCTATGCCATGACATGGATATGCCGTGACATGACAGGCTATGCCGTCGTTTATTTCGCAAGGGGACGAACACATGTGATACCCTATTGCATGTCCTGACCCGTGTCCGTGTTAAATAACCTTTGTTGTCGATTTATGAAAATGATTCTCTTTCACCGAGATAGTCCATAATCGAAAATTATGGACTATCTCGGTGGATTGAACTCTGGTTTTCGAGCAATTCAAGTTTGTCATTTTCACCCTTGTCTTAACAAAACTCGTTACTGGGACGGATATACAGGTAAGAAGGTTTAAGTATTGAAAATACTTTTATTAGAGGCAACTAGTTTTTAAACAGGTTTTCATGGGCTTAGAAGGTTTCTTTTGTAATCCATGGCTCCCATATGACGGTGTGTGAACGGAGCATGGTCTTATGGGCATTGAGGACGTGTGGTGCACAGAATGCCATGATTAGATTAAGCCAGTAACAATGTTCAATGAAAAATGCCTTATTTCAATCACGAATATTGTATAAATTTAAAATATTGCTGACTTTTTTAATGATTGTCATTTATTCCACTACTGGAAGCAACATCTGAGCGTTCGTTGGGCGAATACCACTCGGATTGCAGTCGCAGGGATGCCGAATCCCAAAAACGAATCACCCCTCGCATATATGATCAGAAGCGATTGCCCCCTTCGTAGGAACAATAAACCGTGACGACACTGGCACAGAATATACCGAAGTCTTCTTTTAGAAAATAATGGTCAATTGAAAAATACGGTCAATGACAGATTTCGGAATGCATCATTTCCGGGAGCCTCTGCATATATGATACGATATCAATTTGATTTCCTGCTTGCAATTAATGTATTATTATCTCTGGGTTTTTCACGTGGCCTCCGTATTCACCGGAATTCGTGATCTCCCGTCAAAGAAGGGATCGGAAATTGCCGACGGCGGTGGCGATCGTTGCAGATAGCGGAGCGGGATTGCCATGCCAGGAGGATGGAGAATGCGCTGGGAACGCCGAGTGTGATCGAGAAGGAGGCAGCTGCACTTGCAGGAACGGGTACCATGCAGACGGATTCGAATGCAGTAAGGAATTGCCATTCCCTCCTTTCTTCCCTTTTTCCGATTCCCATTCCGGTGAAATTGTAGGCGGCTCCGACGTGATTTAACGTTAATGACTATCACGAAGAGATCGCCAGCGTGTTCGAGGTTTATAATGACTCCGTTGACTCCTTAAATATACAACTACTTTATTGTGACAACCGGCTTGGAAAGAGGTCAATAATAATAAGAACCAGGAAATGGATATGGGACAAAAATTAAAAATTCTGCTCCCTTAAACGCTCATTAGGCAATAGATACTCAACGTACAATACCTGAATATAAACCCGTGTGGTATCAGTGGGGTGACAGACAGCATACGATCTCCAGCACTGACGTCAAGGGTCCACTCAATATCCCGCGTCTTCTCTCAGGTTTCTCCTCACTATTCTACAATTCGACTC